AAAATTAATTGTATTTTATTAATTTCAAAATAATAAATATATATAATTAGTAATTTATTATTGATATATTTAATAATAACTAAAAATATAATCTGTTTAAAAAAACCTTATTTAATTTAATAATAAAATTTGAGCCAATCAAAATTAATCACCTCATTGATAATTAGGAAATGATCTACATAAAAATTGACCAATCATACAAATGTCTGCCATGCTAATCAGATCAATAAACCATTGAGGGAGGTGATTGAGAACGGCCTTAGTCTCTTTCCAACCAATAGATAAGTACAGGTGGATTTAAAAGTATTCGAATCCTTGGCTAACCCCAGGTGCGGTTATTGCGGAGATCAGGGTCATGTTAGTCAGTGTTGTGGTAATAAGTGAGAACAATGATTCTTCTATTCTCGGTGGTGTTAATGTCAAGTGACAAGATCATTTTAATTTGTTAAAAACTTAGAAAAATTTGATTTTAGCATAATTCTCTTAATTTTAACTAATTTTGTAAATAGAACGTTAAGTGATTCTAAATAATTATAAAATCATACATAGTTTTTACTAGTATTATATTTTATTTTTTAATAATTATATTATAAATAATAATTAGCTTTTTTATAATTAAATTTTTTTTTAATTTATTCAAAATAATTTGGATTCATTTAATATTTCTAATAGTAAATCAATATTTAAAAGATCATATTTTTTAATCTTAAAAGTATTCTAATAATTTATTTATATTCAATTAATTTTTATTTTAAGAGAATTAATAATAATGTTAATTATTTTATTAATAATAAATTTAAATAAATTATATAAAACTTACAAAACTTGTATTTATATTAATTTATAATTAAAATAAAAAGCTATTTTATTTATATAAATTTAATTTATTATTATTATTGTTGTTATTATAGATAAGAGACAAAACCCAAAAAAGTAATTAATAAACAGCTGAAATTATATTAAAATATAATGAGTATAACAAAATTCTGAAACCTGAAATTAGCCAAAACTATAAAATTATTTGAGAGAGTTTTAAAAGGTATTTATAATTGTTATAAATTAAACTTAATTTATAAATAAATATAAAAATAATAAATAAAATATTATAAAAATATAAAAATATAAAAATATTAAAAATAAATTAAACTGATTAAAAAATTTAGCAATTTTCTGCTATTTATTAATTCTTTAACGATTATTATTAAATTTATAATTATTATTATAAATATATCAATTTTAAAATAAAAATTTATCTATTATATTATCAATTATATTTTATTTTTATATTTTATATTATTATATCTGATTTGTAACTAAGAATAAAATTATTAAAAATAAATAAAATTAAGATTACAGTATATTTAAGTAATTATAAGTGATAATTTACAGTAGTTAAAAATGACATTGCAATTACCAAAAAATGTTGCAACTTATGTCACAATTAAATTTATTAATGTAATTAGATTGCAACTCAATAAAATTTAAAAACAATTATAGGAACCATTTTTATATATTATAAATATACATATAATTTTTTTTATAATTATAATAATTATAATACAAATTTTCAACTTTATAAAGAATATTTAAATATATAAAAAATATAATTTTAGTAATATATAAATGAATAAAATTTATTAACGTTAAGGAAAACCATTGCTTTCAATAAAAAAAAATTTAGCGGTCACATGTTTGGCAAATAAATAAATAAATAAGGGTTTGCGCGTGACTTTTCACACTCAAATTCCAAGCGATAATAAATGAATAAGGAGGATCGAATCGACTATTATCGTGCACTTACCAAATATTCGAATCATGAAGAGGCTTTACAATTATTGAAAAAGCTAGCTACTCATGTAATTGCAAAATACCCTTTTTAACATTTTTCTTTTTTTTCTTTTTTTTGGAAAATTTGAAGTTTTTTTTTGTAAATTTTAATTAAGGTAAGACCTATAATGAAAAAACGTAATTGGCGTGTAGGTACCTTGGAAGAATTCTGGCCCGCTGAAAGAGGTTTGCTAGGTTTGTATATAATAATTCTTTAAAAAGGTAATTTAATTGTCTAAATAAATAATTTATATATTTTTATATTATTTAGGAGTTAATAAAAATAGTGGCGAGACAATATGTATAAGATTACGCACACCTTATGATGAAAGACGCTTTTATGATTTCGATGATTTAATTGGGACAATTTTGCATGAGTATATATCATCATTAGTTTTTTCGAAAAAAAAATTTATCATATAGAAATTATTTATTTTATCTATTTTTTAATTAGATTGACGCATATTGAATGTGGTCCACATGATGCAGCATTTTATAAACTCCTTGACGAATTAAATGATGAATATGATGATTTAATGGTTAAAGGATTTGGATTCCTTAATGATGGATACCAACTTGGTCAAGGAATCTCACATAATGTTTCGCCAGCTTTAGCTCAACAAAGGGCATTGGAAGCAGCTGAAAAGAGACGAAAGATTGAAGGAATAATGACAAAAGGCGGAATAAGATTAGGTGGCGGAAATAGGTCTGGATTATCGTTAAGAGAATTGGCTGCGATGGCAGCCGAACGAAGAAGAAGAGATAATATTTGGTGTGGAAATGACATAAAAAATGGGATTAAACATAACAATAATAATCTTGGAGCTATCAATGGAACGAGTTCCGTGGTAAGGAATCCACGATCAACATCTGCAGTAAAAATACCACCAAATAAAATTCCGGGATTATCATGGACTTGTTCATTATGCACATTTGTAAATCGTCCAATGGCCTTGCAATGTGATGTTTGCTTAGCTGAAAAAATACACACGAACGAGCCAGAACCCGTGATTATTATTGATAATGACGATAACTTTTCTAATTCTTTGTTTTGGAGTTGTCCTGGATGTTCGTTGGTAAATGCTCCCGATATCGTAATGTGTTTGGGATGTGATTACTTGAAAGATTAAGGGATTCTTTATCTTTTATGATACCATATATTTTAATACAAGTGAAAAAAAAATTGTATTTTTTACGCGTTTTTTCGCGATCTTGTGTAATTATGTTTAGGAGGAAAAGCAATCGCAGGTAGGTTAGAAACATGTCATAAATAAATATACTGTAATATAATAAAATTAAGTTTGTTTTTAAATGATTCTCGGAGTTATCATCCAAATTGACCTGCAAGAAAGACACTATACATGAATCGGAGAGAATAATGTTAAAAGATACTTTTAATGTTGTTTGCAACAAATGGTCAGATAATATTTGATTATTTAAAGAAAATTTTGTTATCTAGGGATGATTAAGATTTGGTTAATTAACTGTTAATTAACCGTAATATACATTTTATATATAAAAAAATTTAAATAATCGATCGCAAAATTATCGTTATTGATACTTTATTATATTACTGCTTCAAATTGATTCAATTCAAATCCGAAAATAAGATTCAACAAATCATTATCGTCATTTGTATCGCCTTTTATATTATTATTATTTTGATGATTGTAATTTTCTTGCATTTATTATATAATTTTTTTCTTTTGGTAAAAAACATTTGTATTGACTAAAAAAAGGAATGTCTATTTTCTTCCCATTTAATATTTGGATCTTTGGGATAATTAGAAATTTATTTTATTAACGGACATTGTGTAACAATAACTACAAGTGTTACAAAACGTTATCAACAACTTTGACGCACCTTTTAATGTTTAAATTTTTATTGGCTAATTTTGTATTACAACGTCAACAACTACTGACTGACTCATTCTTACTTTTTAGGCCAATTCCGCAGATCCGCGCATGGATGTTGTATTATCGTCCCTGCCATCCGAATTGTATCCAGTTGACTTATTTATTAATAAGTCATAGTGTTTATTTAAACTTTGTTACTTTGTCAGAAAGAAAGAGTAATTATCAATAGTATTTTTATATACAGAAATGAGCGTTTCCTTTATTCTTTTAATCAGCCGATTATCTAAATATTTTGATATACTGAGACTTGGAAATCGGTCCCCCTTGTACAATATCCCCTAGCACAATATTACAATACCCTTTACTATACACAGGGTAATATTTATAGTTTGGCAATATATACCCGGGTACTTATAGAGCGCTATACGGTATTTGTCAAAAATTGTTGATCAAATCATCTAGATTTGATTGGTCAATTCAAAATTAACCAAAATGGTTTGGCGCCAGATCTTTTTGAAAAATTGATAAGGTATTCTTTTCTGCAAAATATATAAAATGTCAGCTATCTGTATAAATTATTTAGACTTATTTAATAATCAATTTCTTGTCAAGTCAAGCAAGAATTGGCCTTGGAAAGACGCGTTATTCGGTAAAAAAAAATAAAATTTATATATAAAAATAATTAATTTTCTGCAAGCTTTCAGAATTTACAATTTTTTTTTCTAATAATTAATAGATAAATATGAACCTACATTTATGCAAAATTCAATAATAGAACAAAAAAAATCAAACTGTTATATACACCTTATTTCATATCAACCATATTTTGTACCAAAATCACGAATAAAAATATCTTTTAAAAGTACACATAGTTTTCACATTCTAAAGAATTGTCTCATTACAAACGATAGTCCTAAATCATTTTACAATGCTATACAGATCTTACTTTATTTCTGTTGGAATCACAAATTGATTTATTTTAGAAAAAACGATAAGAATGGTGATAATTCATTACTTCCGACTGTCAAGTTTTATATGGAACTGAACACAGGTGAACAAGTTGTGTGGTTACCTAGTTTAAATTGGTATAAATAACATCTTTACGATTTCAAATTTATACATTATTATATCTATAATTAATAATTATTGTCGGTTTTTTATTAGGACACGAAAACTTTATTCTCTAATAGCTTGGCAGGAAATGTTTATCTTTCAAAGTACATTTTTTTCGGTTATTGGAGGCGCTTATTCTGCACTCGGAAGATATAATAAAAGACATGTATGAAAGAACAAAATAAAATTTTGAATATTTGTTGAACAATTATATTATTATTATTATTATTTAAAGACAAGTAATTAAATGATTTGTATTTTTTATTTTATTAGGCCGAAAAGGCTAAACATCTCGCACGTAACCAAATTATACTGGCCAAAAAATTACGAGATCCAGTGTTAGAATGCAAATGTTGGATTTATTATGCTGAAGGATTGATTCAACTTGGAAAATTTAAAAAATCTGCACTTATAATCGAACGACAAAAAAAAATCGTGGTGAATATGCTTAAAAGTGATGAAACAGTTAAATATTTTTTAAATGCTTTTGCTTTTCTTGCCAAAGTTTGTTTAAACATTGTCTAAATCTTTTTTAATCAATAGCTTTTGAATATGTGTGAGAGTGCTGAATTGAAACTAATAGCAAATTCTGCAAAATAGAATTCTTATTTCAAAACAATCAAAGGTGATTAAAATAATGTTCGATATATATATTTTATGCAAAATTGTATTAACTTTTTTATTTCGATTTTTTAAAGAATTAGGTCTTTTTTTTTAATTTAATGAGCTTTGATATAGTATTATTTTAATTTCACTTTTCCAAGATCCGGTTAACTAAAAAATATGGTATTGATCACGTGCAATATCTGTACAAATTTTGTTAATAAAGATTGGATTCCTTTTTTAAATTGACTAAGTCTTCAGGATTACTTTTTATAAAAATATGTGATATTATTATTTTTAATTACTGTTTATAGGCGCTTTGTAGTAAAATTCCAAAAAAAAATTTTTGAATATTAAATCTGAATTTATTTTACACATTTAACATATAAAGTAATTGATTTTACTACAAAGTATCTATAATAAAAATTTAAGGTTACTTAAAAGCTAAAAATTTGTAATTTTTATATATTATTAATCTATTATAATTTTATTATAATTTGCTTTTTGAGAAATCTAATCATAGATAAGTAATTAAATATTATTTTAAGATTATATTTTTTAAAATCTATTATATAGGATGTTTACTAGGAAAATGGGCTTTAAGCATTTTTTATTAAAAATTTAATTTTTATTGCATTTTAATCTAATATTATCAAAAATCAAAATGCAATAAAATTAAAATTTTAATAAAAAATGCTCAGAGCTCCATTTTCCTAGCAAACCTCCCATATTATCTAATTGGTTATTCTCTTTACAAAAAGATATTTTATTAATAAATAATTATTAATTATATTATATAATTTATTATATATAAATATTTAAAGATTTTAATTATTTATTATATTGTGATTTATTGCTATCTTATTTATCATATGTTTTATTTATATAATACAAAATAGTTATAAAAATCATTATTTATGATCAATCAATTTGATTAACTCTTTCTTATACTTTATATTTTCATTATGTTTTAAATGAAAACTTTGCTATACTTATATTAAATTTTTTTATGGTGTTTTTTTGTTATTTTAATTTCTTTATACTTTATTAATTATATATTTTATTGATTAAAGATAACAATAGATTTATGTAAATAGCCTTATAATATACTATATATTTCTTAAGAATAGTTCAATAAGTAGAATCAAATTATTATTAAGTTTATCAAAATCCTAACTCAAAATAATTAAAGTAATAATATCTATAATCAGCTCTTTCTATAGCGAACTTTGATATAACAAATTTTATAATATAATAAAATTTTGATATAAAACAGATTTTTAAATATAAAAAAATCTTACTATACTGAATTTATTAAGTTAAAGGTTTGTAATATATTAATGAACTAAAGTATATAAAAATGCATATATAAAATGAACATATTGTTACAGTCAGTTCTTTTATATTGGTTAGAAATTATAAGCAAACAGATAATATAGGTGGTAATCAGAAGGTTTAATTTGTAGTTGAGATGTGATAAAGTATATATATCAGTTATTTATTTGATATAAAATAACAAATAAGTATTATCTCAATATCAGCGTTCTGTACTGTATAAATGTTTTAATATAATCAAACCAAACTTTTCAATACTTGACTCTTATCTGTCTTTTATTAAACTAAAAATCTCAGCTGTATTTATATAAAATAAAATATATAGATTTATTAATGATGTTAATATAATAAAATAAAGATAATAAATAAATTAAATAAAATAAATAAACTAAGTAAAATAAATAAATAAATAAATTAACTAAATTAAATAAAAAAGATAAATGAGGTAAATAACGTTAATGATATATACTTAGTTTTATTGATTTACATCAAGTAGATCACTTGAATGATTTTCGTGTAATACTATAAATAATAAAATTTTTTATAACAAAGTTTATTTAATATGATAATATTGTGAAATATTTGTCATATTGCAAAATTACAAAACTATCTAATCCAAAAACTAATCTAAGTTCCTATAAAAAAGAAAGAAAAGAATATTAATAATGTTTTTTATTTAAAAAAAACTTTACCTATAAACTTATCTTCCAAGAGTTTATCCAAAAGAAATTTTAGAAACCATTCCTACCAAAAAGAAAGAAAAGAACATTAGTAATATACTTTATTCTAAGAAAATTTCACACACCTAAAATTTATCTTTCAAGAGCTAAGATAATATGAATTTATTCTAAAAGGATAATAAAAATCGTTTTTTTAGGGATAATACAAAATTATCTTAAAAGGATGAAAGGATGATATAAATTGTCTTTTTAGAGATGATATAAAATTATTCTAAGAGAATAAAAAAATTGTTCTAAAAAAATAATAAAAACTATCCTCCTTTTAGAGACAATATAAAATTATCTTTCTTTTTAAAAATAATACAAAATCATTTTAAAAGAATAATAAAAATCTGTTCTTTTAGAATGATAAAATAAAAAGTTTTGAAACTTTATATAAATTATATGATTTTCTATCATACTAAATAATTTATTATACCAATACCAATTTTTTTTATAATAAAAGTCTGATCAGCCAGATATTAACTTCGTTATATTGAGATATGACTGTATATCTTAAGTTAAAAAATCTTTTAAAACTACTAATGCAATTAATATAATATATAGGATACAATATATAAATATGTATTAAAAATAATCTTATTACTTTAGCTATTAGTATTCTATTACATAGCTATTAGTATTCTATTACATATTTGAAGAAAATTATTAGCATTGATAATCATATTATTGTATTTTTTTTTAAAAATAAGCAACATATTTTTACTATTTCTTTAATAGTTTTCCTTTCAAATTTAGAAGGAATTTTACTTACACTTTAAAGTTAATTTTAAATATATTAAAAATTAGTTATTAAATCAATAATATTTTTATAATTAAATTTATGATATTTTTTAAGTAAAATTAAAAAAAAAATTACATTAATTGGTAATTTTTTGTATTAATTTAAGATTAAATTTTTGAAAATTTTTTAATAAAAATATTTTCTTTATAAAAGCTAAAATTTTTAATTTTTATTTATTTTATATTATTAAAAAATCTTTATAAAATATATTTATTTATTTAAACATTTATTTATATATTTAAATATTAATTATTTATAAAAAGAATTATAAATTTAAAGTTAAAATTTTTGTATATATTTAATATTTTAATTATTAAAAATGATATTTTATTAAAAATAATAAATTTATAATAAATTTTATAATGTATTTTAACTAAAAATTAAAAAAATTGTTTGTTTTATGTAAAATTTAGCATAATAATTGATTAAAAATCATAACTAAATTTGAATAAAATTATTACTATTTAAGAGATAGTATTACTTATTTTGGGTAAGTATTATTTTTAGTATCAAAACTTCAATTAATGATATTTTTTTGTCTAGTAATTATAGAATGATAAAATATATAAAATATAGCTTATTATATTTGTCTTATTGAATGAAATCAAATGATATAAATTTTATAACTTTAAAATAAATATTAATTGAAATATTATTTATTTTCAGATACTATTAAATTTGAGGGTTGCTTATTTTTTGAGATTATTAATTTTTGGAAGAATATAATACTAGTTTTGAAAGCTACTATTTATACTAAAAATCATTAGAAAAATTATATAAACATAAAAAACAATTATTTAAAGACCTCTTATTTCTTATATTTAATAATAAATAAAGGGAATAAATTATTATCATAATTGAGAATTTAATACAATAAATTGTTATATTATTATCAGATTTATTGCTATTGCTTTTAATATATTATCATAAAAAAAGTTTAATATACTAATTTATCTTAAACATATTATAAAATGAAGAACTTTTTTTTTAAATGCAAAAAATCATTGATAATAAATTATATATATACTTATTTTTTTATGATTATATAAAGAAAATTAGATTTAGTTAATATTATTACCTCTTTTATAGTAATAACAACTAATATTATTTGTATAAAAGAGTATTTTTAATTGTATTTAAAAGAATATCAAGAGTTGAAAACTAACATATTTGAAATGTAAAAAATGATTACTAATATTAGCTGATATCTAAAATAAAAAAGCAGCTAAAAATAATATAATTGATTATTTTACAAAGTTGCTTATTTTTTAAATTCTATAATATTAATAATGAATTAAGTAATATTTTTATTTCTAAGTTAAGTTTTACTCAACAGTTATTTATGAATTAAAAAATTAATAATCCTAAGGTCTATATTCTAGATTTAATTAATATTAATCTTAATTTAAATTAAAAATATTAAAAAGATTCTTTATTATATAGAAATGATATTAGATATTAAAAATAAAATTATAAATAGGTATTTATAACCTGTAATGATATCTTATACAATTATGCTATTAAGCTAAAAGAAAATTTTCTTGGTTGATTCTTATATTAGAATAATCATATAAAGAGATGAAGTATATGTAGAGTTAAACTGATAAATTAATTTATTATTAAAATAGAATAATTTTTATTAATAATTTTTATTTTTTATATTAATAATTAGAAAAATAGATTTAAAACAATTTGTACTGTATTAAAATTAAAGATGATGTAACAATTAATTTCAAATTTACAATATGTTGCAATATAAGCTAAAATTAATTGTAATATATATTGCAACATTATAAGTTACAACATATATAGGTCAAAACTAGTTATAACGTATGTTGTAACATTAAATATTGCAACATATTAATTATAAAAGAGATTTGCTAGGAAAATGGGATTTTAAGCATTTTTTATTAAAAATTTAATATTTATTGCATTTTAATCTAATATTATCAAAAATTAAAATAAAAATTAAAAGTTTAATAAAATTTTTCAGAGTCTATTTTTCTAACAAATCACCATATATATCATTAAACATAAAAATAGAGTTTATATAATTATATATAGAAAGCTATTCTAATTTTTTAGTTAAAGAATATTTTATCTGATTTGAACTAAAACCTAGTTTATCAGATAAAATATAAGCAAATCTTTAATTATCTAATAACTATTAATTATTAAAAGTAATAAGAACTAATAATCCATTTTTAAAGAGAGTTATTAAAAGATCATTTTTTTTCAATTTAGTTTATAAGATATTTCTAATTTATTGCTTAATATAGATTGTTGATAAAGTACAATTAATGCAACTTTATTTAAAAGTATATAAATTATAGAAAAATTTGAATTTTATTTAAATCAAATATTATAAATAATGTCAGGGATTAGATGCAAGTTATTGCATATAATTACAAAAGGTATTTTAAATTTAAAAACAATTTATTTAACTTAATTGATTATTAATAATCTTTAAATATCAGGTTCAAGAACTCAGCAGCAGTCAATTATAAAATGTCAAAGATTTTGTATTCATTTGAAAAACTTTGGATTTACCAATCTAATGAATGCAAAAACTATTTGTTATAGTCATAAAAATTAAAAAACTTTATATTTAGTAAACAGGCTTGATTACCATTACAATTCTTCTAATAACCTGAATAATTAGAGATCCCAATTCCAAATCTAATGCTAATATAACTTATATTAATATTATTAAAAACTCTTTTTAAAATTGATATAGATTGTTTTTAATAGTTTTAGTCTCAAGTCTCTTTGGTGGCTAGAGATCAATTTGTGTGATATGACTTTTTTTGCTACTATTACCTATCGATAAAACTTAAGCTATCTATCTTTAATTTGATATTTTTAAAATAGATTAAGAAACTATTAATATAATTAAAAATCTTTAAGCCTAATAATAAATAAGGACATAATTTTATTATTGAAGTATTTGTTAACAACAGTTCATCTCTTTTTAGATAATACCGATTACAAAACAGGAAGCGGATGCACAATAAAATATAAAAATCAAAACCCTCTGTGAAGATGCTTGAAAAAAAATAGTTCAGATTGAAATCAAAAAAGCGATTAAATATACTACAAGATATAAAGCATACTTTCAGTGCAAATAATGCTTTTTTATTATTTCTCTGACAGCAAGAACAAACACGCTTATATTATTTTGGATAATCATATTAAGATCACCGATGAAAAAGATGATACCTTTAGCAGAGAGATTTTTAAAATTACTGTTTCCGGTGGTTTTCGTAAACCAATTAAATTTATGAAGTCTCAGTTTATGAAGTCACATTTCGTTATAAAAATTTAAAAATATATTTTTTTTGTTTAGGAACAATTTAAATGTTTTTTTTTTTTTTTTATCATTGCTGTTATTGTAAAAAAAAAATTAAATTTTATTGTATTTTAGAAACAAATTTAAAGTATTCTTGGCAACACCCGGCTTGAGAAAATGGGACCTTTGCAATAGAAAAGGGGGAAACTGCCGAAAAAATAAAAAATGAACATATTTCGGTCTGAAAATCATATTTAGTATATAAAAGTAAAATTGATTTTTCCCCCTTTCTATTGCAAAGGCCCCGGTCTATTCAGCTTAGATCGTAAAATTAAAAGTGAAGGTGAAATTATTTCGATTAAGGCCGTGTATAACAATTTAGCATTAATTGCAAAAAAAAGAATTGTATAATTTCTAATAAAACCATTTTAATTTTTTAAAATTAGACGAGACTGACTTTTTTAAAAAAAAAAAGAACCCCCCCCCCCCCCCCATCTTTGAATATTTGGTTACCGAACTTCCAATTGACTGTATAAATTTTATAAACCAAAATAAGTGACTTTATTTCATTTGGAATATGTCCCATTTATAATAATATGTATATTATATATATATCTCTCTCTATATAATTACGTGATTTACAACAAAAAAAAAGTATGCTTTTCTTTTATATAAAGGAGTATCATAACCAAAATTTGAATTGTGGAAATATTTAATGATTTTCTTGGGAATCAGCAATCAGCATCAAAATTTGCTGTTTCGTCAAATCCCATAAATCATTCCCACCAAACGAAAGGGTTTCCAAAACCCGATCAGCTGCCCAACCAACAACTCGAACCAAGGCAACAATACATACAACACCGAAAATTACACCAAATATCAACCCTAGTAATAATCCAATTCCACTTCCTATAATTGATAAGATAAAAGGAGTCCCAATGCCCCCAACTGCTGCCAACAATCCAAAAAGAACAGGTCCAACGAATAACGCCACGAATGCTGCAAATATCAAGGTACACAAGTAGAAATAATGCCATACGGGATGATTATCTCGTAACTCGTTTGGACGCACCAAATAGTATAAAGGACCCTTTCCAGGACTTGCACCCGTTAATCTATATGAAGTTATTTTGGAACCTAGTGTCTTCCTCATACTTTGATTCAATTTCTTTCGGGATGCAAGTGGATCGATATTTTCTGAAAAACCGAAAGATTAATTGGTATGGTAATAATAATTCAGTTTAACGTTATCACATGACATACCTGTCTCATCGAGAGATATTGGTTTAATGGAGGAAGGGTTTACTGAAGACATAGACATAGTAGACATTTTCTTATAAGTTATCAGTAATGAAATTAATTTTTCTTTTTTTTTAAAAAAAAAAAAGGAAAAGGGAATATTTATATAACTTAAAATATCCTGACAGGTGGGAATTTCTCAATAAATAAAAATTGAAAATTTTGAAAATTTGAAAAAAAAAAAAAAAAAATGTATAAATAGTGATGATATCAAACTTGTGAAAGGCATGAAAGGCACATGCGAATTCATGATCATATAAAATGTTATGCAATGTAACCAAAAAAAAAAAAAATGTTTCAAGCAATGCAAGTGTAACAAGTGTAACAAAAATATATGCACGGATGATTTTTTTTTTTCGCGTTTCCAGGGTTACAATCCACGTGATTATTGATTTTATCCAAACGCGTAGTTGGATAGTTGGAATTCATGAAAATTACTCGAAAATATATTTTCAGATAAACGATAAAATTATTGCATTTGCATGGGTTCCCCAGAAAAAGTATGAAACTCCTTTGATGATGATGATAAGTGATAAGAGTTCATATGTGACCACCTTGAACGGTTTCAAGAACAATGGTTATTAAGGATTAACATCATTTGTACATTCCTAAATTTGGAAGGATATTCAAAAAGTAAACGAAACTTACCGCAAAAAGTTATATGAGAAGATCCATAAGGCATGTGATAGATACGCTTTGCCACATATTCCAGGAAAAGTTCTTTGTAATTACATGACATTTAAAAGTACTAACTTTTGAAATTTATTTCATCATTTAATATATGTAGCTAGTTAGAAAAGTAATAAAGAATCTTTATTATAGAAATAGAAATGATAGGTAATAATGAATACAATAAAGAGATGAGATAATACGAAAAATTTTACCAATAAAAAAAAGGAAAGAAAAAAAAGGAAAGGAAAAAAAGGGCTAAATATAAAACCATTTGATAACTCCATATAACAGAGATGTTACAACGTATTCTATTCTATGCTAACTATAGAATTCGACTATATAAAAAAAATTTTCAATTTCATTCGTCATCATCTTCTTCTTCTGCTTCTTCTAACCATTTCACAAAAGGCTTAGCCTTATTTCGAATATCTTGATTAATGGCCTCATCAGCGTAGGTAACGGAAGCATTTCTCTTGAACAGACGTTTGTATTTGGAGGAATTACTGCCTTCAATCCAAGCTTGAATGACCTCTTCCTCAACTAAATCGCTCTGATAGTAACCCATTAAAATTTTACACACAGTTTTGCTTTCCATTAATCCTTTATGCTCATTAAGTAGTTTTTCGGTAGCTCCCAACAATGCAAGTTGATCATCCGGATTTAAAACAAACTAAACCACAAATAGAACGAAAGTTAGCCCAACAATCATATTTTATAATAATATTAAAATAACGACAAAGATTTTACGACTTTACCTTTTTGAATAATTTTGCTCTCTTTTGAATTTGCTTCTCAATATTATCATTTTTCTGAAAGTTTTCGGGAAAGAGATGAAGAACAAGGTGTTTTAAAACTATGTCGGTATCTTTCGAAATACCAAGTTCTTTGATTTTCTTGTAAACATCATTGTTTCTAGCATCATTGTTATCTTCCAACCACTCGTCAAACGATTCGTGAGGTTCTTGTTCTCCTTCGGAATCATCATCATCAACGATGAGAGAAGTTCTAACATCTCGTTCTAAATCTTTGATACGTTTGGCGACAGCTTCTGGAGAAGTATCGACAGCCCAATCATCATCTTTGGCATTTTTATCGGCAATAGGGAGCTCGGCCGCTTCAGCAACAATACGTTTAGTAATCTCATCATCAGATTCTGCAGAATCTCTGGTTGGGGATGTAGGAGATTCATTGCCGTTCTTTTCATTCTTCTTATTTTTCCTATCTTTTTTACCATCTTTTCCTTTAGGCGTAGATGGTGGATGTTTCAAAATGTAAGTAACAAGTTTGTGACGCATATCGACTTCGGTTCTTCGACCACAGGCTTTGCAATCACGGATGACTTTTTGAGTATTTGCATTTTTACCGATAATGATCTATTAAACGGTCGTATATACATATTGAGCATTTGAAATAAATGAATGCAATTAGATAATAAATAATAAATAAATAAAATATATACCAAGTCAGTTTCAGGGTTATTACAATCAGCGCAAAGAACAAACTTTTTGATGAAGACATCGAGTAATTCTTGAAGTCTGGCCGCTTCATGCGCGCCATTTACAATGTAACGATCTTTCTTTTCATCGCAATTAACCTGAGCCCCAAGTTCACAACCAAAAAATTTAGTTGGGTCTAAATAAGCAATGAAGATTAAGGTTAAAGATATAATCAATTTAATTAATCGATATAATATTGATAATTACAAGTTGGTGGTCGACTCAAGGAGCGTGCGATATCGGTCATGTTAGGGACAACGGTCTTGATTCCATTACCTTTGCCTTCGATCTGTTTGTAGATCAGAGAAAAAAAAAATTTTTTTTTCGATTAGATAATTTCCTATGAATTACTAAAAAAGGAAACAGGCAAAAAAAACGTTTTTATCCGACAAACAGATAATTTAAAAATTTAAAGATTAATTTACCTTTGAAATAAGTTTGGGCATTTTATACCGATAAAATCGATCACCTTCATTTCCTCCGATATTGAGGGTATCCATGATTGCAATACTTTTTTAATTTTATAACGCTAAGTTTAAAGGAATACAGGGATATAATGTAACAATAAAAGGTTGGAAAGTAAAACTGGCCGTAATATGAAGTCTCTAAATCTTCAATATGAATTCGTTAATTTGCTTTAGGTCATCAACTTCTTACGTTTATGTTTCTGTAAACGCTTTCTAAAAATGTGTTCACGCTGTTGTCTATTTTCAATTGATGGACAAAACATGAAGCGGTTGGTTAACAACAATGCTGTTGAATAAAAGAAAAACGGCCTGTTGTTTTAAAATGGGTAAACTGTTAAGATAGATTTTTTACGAGCAAGAAGAATATTTATATCTTTATTGTTATTTTTTTGGGTGGTATGATATAAAAAAAAAAAAATTTTTGAAATATTTTTGGCAAAAAAAAATTTGTCATACTTTTTACTAAGCAAGTTTTTTTAATCACATGATCAACAAGTACAAATTATGCACAAAAAATTTCTCCCGTCAAACTTGAGAAAACATGGTGAAAAAGTGTAAGCCATCAAATCAATAAATGCAATGTATTTTTTACTATATATTTATTAAAAATATATATTTGAATTTTTAGATTATTGTGATTATTGTGATCGTTCCTTGACTGACAATGCTGAAAACAGAAAAAAGCATCTTGAGGGTACTCAACATCAAATTAACGTAAAACTTCACTATGATTTATATAAAGGCAATTATAATCGTTTTCTTTTTCCTTTCCTTTTTTTATAAAATCCGAAATTAATATATATAAATATATATAGATCCTGTTGAATTATTAATTGAAAATAGCAAAAATCCTACTTGTCGAAAATTTAAAGATGATGGATATTGTCCATACGGATTGAGCTGTAAATACTCTCATGTTCCAAAGGGAATCGATTTTACGCGCATTGATCCATATTGTAATTAAATTTATTTAATTCAAGTTGGCAAATATTTTTGGGGGAATTATTCGTTTTTTTACCATTATCCTTTTTTTATGTTGGTAGATTACTTGGCACTTAACCCACATATCTTACAATCGAATAAATTTACCACACGAGAGCAATGGAAGCAGCCAACTGTTCAAACTTACAAGTATAAATTGCCACCGGGGTTGACAAAAGATCTGCCGCCTTCCTTAAGACCACCTCCGCCAATTGGTTACGATTTTTTTAATGCTGCACAATGGGGCTAGCTTTTATCGAGTTCTGATTTAACCACTATATCGAAATTTTTAATTGTAAATGAAAAAACTTTGCGTATTATATGATATAAATGTGACTTCATGAATTTACGATATTCTGTCATCATAAAATCATAATAGCCCACTTTTTTTCATTATAAAAAAGCTCTTTAATTCAAATCGTAAGAGCAAGGATTCATTCATTATACAAAAGCTTTTTATTTTAAAAATCAAAAAAAAGCAACCTTTTATTTCTTTTGCTTGAATTCTTTGACAAATATGTCAGGGCGTGAAAATCTTCCATCTGATCCGGATATTACACCTGGTGATGTTGGACCTTATGGAGACGGGGCACGTCGCATAAAAGTTCAATCGAAAACTGGTGATGAAACCGAGGGTTATATCATGGCTGGTGGAAATGAGGAAGGTAAATCTGGAACAGGTGGTAGGGGAAGAAGAGGAAAAGGTGGTAGAAATTTAAGAGGTCCGGGTGTCGGTGGATGGTTGTATGAAACACAAAAAGAAAAATGATTTCTTTTTTTAAGAGAATTTACAACCATATAATTTATTAGCCAGTTTCCTCAGTATTCATCCCCCCTTATTTTTGTTTTAATAAAGTTATAAAAAATAAAATATGCCATTCGGCATTCCTATTATGAATCTCCGAAATTTTAACAAATTAGCCAACATCGATCGGAATATTTCGGGAAGTTGGAGTAAAGTGCCATTTATAGTTCGTAAAACAATCGATCATTATAGTTTTTTTTCCGGTTCTTATCATTGTGACTTTCATTTAATAAAAATGCTTTCCATTAAAAAATGGAATCAATTAGAACTTGACCCTTCTTTGGAAAAGTTGTCATATGAAATTCATTCTTATTCCTCATATTCTGCCTTATATTATCCTCGTAATATAATGGAAAATAAGCCTTTGGAAGAATCTTCTAGGTGGTCAAGTAGTTGCAATGACGAAATGCAATATATAATAATCAAGCTCGAATCAATGGCCATTGTTCGTATCCTTTTTTCACTCATGAAGCTTAAATTCAAAGCGTTGCCTTATATAAAATTTATATCTATCCGTAACCAATTTCATTCATTATCTTTGTCAGATAGTATAACATTTGGCAAGTTTAATAAAGGCAGGTTCACTTTTAACTAAATGCAACATTTTGAAAGCAAATTTACACAAATCTTGTTTTTTTCCGCGTTATTTGTTATACAGGACACGTATGTAACCTCAAAAAGTTCAAGGTCTACGGAGGGTTAACACCGAACAATATGATTGAATTACTTAGTAGCGGTAGTTGAAGAGTTGTTATATATATAAGACAAATTTAAAAACTAGTGTAACTTCAAAACTTTAGATGAAATTTTATTTTATTCTTTCGCTGTTAGGTTTACGAAATGACGAGATTCCTGAAACCTTTCGACTCAAACACCAGGCAAACAATGTGGTACGTGTAACCATAAATGGCCACATGTTTTTAAATCTTCATGATTGAGTTATAATTCATCAAGTTATTTATCATTTCATATAGATATTACCATGTCAATATATCAAGATCGTTCCACTTGTTGCATACGCGCCTAATTTCAAATTTAGTATATGGTACATCGAATTGAAGGGAATACGAGATCAAGATGTCGTTCAAAAAGTTTATTATGACTTTATAACTGTAAGTATTTAAATTTACTCGAGCTAATTTGTTAAAAGGTTGCTAATTCAACGAATTTAAAAATTTTAGTATCGAGAAAATGAGGCGATACGTCTTTGTTTAAAACATTTTCGTCAGAGAAATTATTTGGATGCTTTTAATTCACTTCAATCGCGAACAAATTTACTCCTTGAAGACCCGTTTCTTACGGAACTGTACACACAATTAGTTATGAATGGCGATTTTCAGATGGTGGAAGATCGTGTTTCTAATGCCTTAGAGAAAGGGTTATTTGAGGATTATATTCGTAGTCATGCGTACAAGCATCAGTGGACAAAGATCGATGCGAAGGATATTGGTACGTTTACATCTACTTTGTAAATATTTTATATAAATATTTATCATATGTTAATTTATTTATGAAAGATGGCGATTCACCTTGTATGCGAGGAGGACATCAAATGTGTATTGATGTTGAGGTAATGAGACGCTCATAGTTAATATTTCAAATAAAATAACAATTACAAAATCTTTTTTTGTTTCGGTTGAATAGTCAGGATGCATATATTTACTTGGCGGATGGAATGGAACGGAAAATTTATCGGATTTTTGGGTTTATAATGTGAATACGAAGATTTGGACTCTAATAAGTTCCGATACAAAAGAGTATGTCAAAAAGAAAAAAATATATACCCTTTTGATCATATAATTCAGACACTAACATTTGTTTCATAGACAAGGTGGACCTGGTTCAAGATCAAATCATAAAATTTGCTTAGATCCTGTCACCAAGCAAATATATGTTCTTGGACGGTTTATTGGTCGCGATATGCGTGCAAATGCTAATTATGACTCCGATTTTTATCGATACGATATAATATGTAATGAATGGGAACAACTTTCAGAGAATACATTGGTGAGGAGAATAGTTTTTTTTTTTATGCGCGACAATGTGTACTAATATTCTCTTAATTTGCATGTTAGTTGGATGGTGGACCAGTTTTAATATATGACCATCAAATGTGTATAGATTCAGAAAAACAAATTCTTTATGTATTTGGCGGTAGAGCGGTTCATCCGGATACAGAGCGGTTTTATTATAGTGGTCTATATACTTATAATATAGCATCTAAGAAATGGAAATTAATCAGGTAAATTATTTATTTGATTAAAATTTCCTTCAAGACAAATTAAAAAAAATTCAATTGTTTTTATAGATCAGATGGAAATAATATAAATGATCAAATTCAATTCAAATCACGTATTGGGCATTCCATGTTATTGGATCCGAATGAAAAATTGTTATATATAATAGGAGGAGAAAGGGATAATAAATTTTTAAGGTTTGCCTCATGATTGACCTGATGGGTAGGCAATAACTAGGATTTATTGAATGATCATTTGATAACTTATCTTATTAGTATTCTTTTATATTTATAATAGTGACTTTTACATTTACGATATTAATGCGGATTCGATATATGATTTGCCTGCTGATTATGCAGCTCAAGATGATCAAGATGAAGTTTCTATGCAAAGGACAACTTTTGATATTAACACACGAGAATTATTTGTTCTTGCTGGTCTTAAGGACAAAAAGGATAAACGGGATAAAAAAGCTACCCTAGTTAAAAATTCGTTTTGGATTTATGATTTACAAATGAGAAAGTGGACAAAGTTATATCAGAGCGAAAATTTTGATCCATATAAGACGAATAATGAAACAGCGGAACCACGTCCGAGATATGCATACCAAATGGTTTACGACAGTGAGAATAAAGTACAATATTTATTTGGAGGAAGAACTGTTGAAATAGAAGCTTCCAAGCAACGGAGATTGGATGATTTTTGGAAATTGCAATTAGCTCGGTAATTAAAATTAATTTCAAGGAAATCTTATTATTAATGATAAAAAAATTTATGATTAATATTATATCACAGACCGAAATCTGGAGACTTGCTAAGAAAAATTAAGTTCCTAATAAGAAAACAAAAGTAAGTAATAATAAATGAAGGAATCATTGGTTTTTTTGAATTAGTTCTCATTGAAAATTTCTTAGATTTCGAGAAATGTGTCTTGAAGGTGATTCAATTAAGGCACTAAAATACCTTCAAGTTCAGCTTGCTCAAGTAGTTGATCACACAAATGAGAACGAAAGTTCCGAGCTTTATGGATTATCAACAAGTTTAATTCTTGGAGGTAAAGGTAGAATATTAATACTTATTTGCAAAAACTTACAAATAAATTACGATTTGTTTATTTTAGCGAATTTTTTCACTATTATTTTATGAATAATATATGATTAGATGAAACCCATGATACCTTTAATGAACGGACCAAATTGTATGAAAAGTTATTGGAATTTTTTCCCGAGGAGATGAAACAACCAAAAGGAAATTTGATTGATTTAATAAAAATCGAATAATAATTAATCTTAATTCTTTTTTTTTCTATCTAGAAAACAGGCAGGGTAATTATATTTAGTGAGAGAATTTGTATTTTAACGTAATATATTTTTATTATTCCAATTAAATTGTACAATTACTTTAAATATAATAAAAGTGGAAAGTTTAATTTATATAATTTATATGAAAGTAACGTGTTTTTTTTTGTTTTCACGTGAACGATTCTAATAAATAAATTACAAAAAAAAAATTTTTTTTTTTTATTAATCGGCATGGTGATCATAATTAAATCAGCAGTACAACAGTTATTAAAAGATGTGACTAGAAGAAGAATGATTCATAAAGAAATTAAACAAATCTTAAATTATACGGAATATTCAAAATGGGACTTGGGGGTATTTTTCGTAGGAGATAAGGAAATTAAAGAATTAAATTTACGTTATAGGAATATCAATAAAGCAACAGATGTATTAAGTTTTCCATTACATCAGGTAACATATATTTAGGAGGAATCCAAGATCATCTAAATACAATTTATTTATATATATATATTTTTGTTTTCCTCTCAAAAAATCGTGCAGACGATTATTCCAGGTAAATTACCTAATCCATTAACGCCAGAACATCAAAATCTTGGAGACATGATAATATCGGTACCATATGTTATGAGATGGTGTAAAGAACATGATGAAATTGTTGAAAAAAGATTACCTGTTTTGTATACACATGGAATTTGTCATTTAATCGGATATGATCATGAGAATGAAGAGGACTTTGAAGAGGTAAATTTATAACCGGTTTAATTTTATTTTTGTGAAGTTCAAAATTTAAATTCTATCTAATAATCATTATTATTCGGAAAATATATATATATATATTTCGTTGTAAATTAAGATGAATAAGAAAGAACGAGAAATTTTGGATAAATTTTGGGACTGGAAGAAAAGAGGTGACGATTGTAATGGTAGTAAAAGCGAAATTGAAAGTGATGAAAGCGATGATGACGGAAACTCTTAACCACAAATGCTTTTTTTTTTTAAAAAAAAAAAAAAAGATTTGTACAGTATGATTTTTCAATTTTAGACGACAATTGAGTTCATATCATTATATACAACTTTGAAATCGAAATCCTCGAAAATTTTTTATTTGTCAAATTGTAAAACATGCACTACCTTTTTAACATATGCCAACTATGTATTAATTTAAACTTTCCTTATGCACGAATCTATCGTGGCTCTTTTTCAAAATATCAATAGAACTCTTCAAGTATTGAAGATCAGTTATTGAAATTTCCAATATATCTTTCTCTTCAGCTTGAATCATCTCGGTATTTAAATCAATTAATTTATCTTCATAATCTATCAAAATCTTATTAACTTGATCCAAGTGTACGGCAGTACTTTGTAAATGCCTCATGATATCATTAGTAATTAATAATTCTTCTCTGGCTTTATTTAATTCAAAGTAAAACTTGCTTGATCATCATCAATGTATCGTTGTGCTTCTCTATTACCTTCGATAATATATTTTTCGACCCCATCACGTACGTTTTCCGCATCCATAACAGATTTACTTGCTTCCGCGACAATTACACGAAATTCCTTAACTATGTTTGCCAATTTGTTCAAACGACCGCTAAAATATCTTATATCACCATATTCCAACTTTACTAATTTTTTCATCATAGCTTCAATTTCTATATCAAAGGATGTGAACACAAATGATCCTTTACGATACATTTTACGTAAACTTTGACCTGCTATCATGACCATTTCTCCGAATTGTCTCAAGTTCGATGCTATAACACTACCATGCTTATTAAATGCTGGACTTCTTTCGATCATATTTGCTACGCGACGACACGATACCGTATGTTTCATAATCGCGTCAGAAGCTAAATAAAAAAATATCATCTAATCCATTATAAAAAAAAATTTATTAAATACCCGGGAGATCTAAAGTGTTGATTTCATTAGAAATGCCATTTGTAGAATCAACGAATCTTTTGAAAAATGATGATGGTTGTGGATTTGGGAAGATCTATTAAACGCATTTTATAGAATATAATGTATACAAAATATAAATTAAAATTAACATCTAATGAAACATTATTTGAGATCCATAACTTACAGGTAAAATGAACAACAACAAGGTAATGGACAGACCAATCGTTTTGATTAGTCGTTGTTTAGGATGAGAAGATAATTTGTTCCAATAGTGAATAGCATTTCTTTTAAAATAATTAAATAATTGGGAGACAATGATGGAAAATTCTTCTTCGGATTTGTCGTCATTATTTTACGATGTAAGATTTTCTTTCGTTCTCGAAAAACGTTAGAATTTTCTGGATGTTCGGTCTACAAATAAGAAAACAAAAAAAAAAAAAGTGAGCGATGAATTCTTAATCATTTTAAACATGAAAAGAAAAAAAATCATGAAATGAAAATAAACACATATTCTGTTTCAAACATTGTCAAAAGTTTTTTTTTTTTTAATAGTGATGAAATTATCAACTTTTTTTTTCTTTTTTTTTTTTGTAATTTTTTTATATTTTTTTTATATTTTTGAAAGATTTATTATTTAGATGATTATCATCAAACACGCCATTTTCTTTAGAAAGTTTTTTTCCATGAAAATGAACGAAATTGGATAAATTAACGATTAATAATATTTCGTTAACAATCCTTTCAAACGTGAAACATTTTCTTAATAATTGTATTACATGCATTATTACACGTGGAAAAGGTTCTTTTATGAATCGAGCTAACTTTATTCTCGTAACAAAAAGCGAACAATTCAAAATCATAACGATTATGACGTATATTGGGACCCAATTAAAAAATTTGTTTTTTCGCTCGCGAACACCACAACAAATCGTTTAAAAACGCTCGATTCCCTTAATGTTCAGATGGAAGTTGTGGGTACTGACTTACTATAAATGTTTAGTCAGAATTGGCACAAAGGATTATCTAATGAATAATATATAAGGTTTATTGAAAAAAGAGATTTGAAAAAAGAGATTTGAAAAAGAGAGTGTTAATAAGCAAGAAAACAACTACGATTTCCTCACTAACGATCCCCATTAAAATCAAGTATGTTCTCCAGATTTGGCGAAATGCGTAATTTTTTTTATTTCGCTAATTAAAAAGAATATTACTTTTTTTGTATGTCAAAGGATTGCTTTTATTATGTATATATATATATATATATATATATATATTTGATTTAAATCATAAAGTACGCATTCTCTTTTTCACATGAGTAACTTTATATTTTTTGTAATGAAAGGTCTTTTTAGGAGGAGATTTAAATAAAAATACATTTCTGTTACAATAATTTGTTTTTTGGAAGAATTATTATAAAATTTTAAAAATGTCGAAAAAAATTTTGTAGTTGATAATAAATTTCCAATTCAGTATACATTTTTATTAATAATTTTGGTGACAATCTCGATTGAATTACAATTGTTTAGTCGATTAATTGAATCACTTTTCAAAAACTTTCGAGCTCCTGCATGGAACTATTCCACATCAATGAACTTTACAAATACTGTAAATTTGCATCAAAGAAATAACACATCTCATACAATTATTGCTTAATAACATTTGATAAAAAGTAAGCCTGCATCGGAAAACATCAATCATTTTTCGAGTTTCTACGCGTCCATCCACTTTACTGTACATGTTCTTACTTTCAAAACCTGCATAACGCGTCAGTGGAACGTTCATCATATTTTTTTTTTTTTTGCAAGGCCGTTCAAATAGCATACATATATTCTATTTTCAACCGGTAAATTATGTAATTTTGTAGGCATACCGCATATGTCCTTTTCGCTCAAAGACTTCTTATTCTTTGAAAGTTTTTATTTATATCCATTCCAACAAAAAAGGATTGCAAAAGTGAAAAGGTCCAGAGTACAAATTCGCAAAAAACGTTTAAAACGCGACTAATTAATTATTTATTATATAATACTGCGGTATGTCAAAGACATATTTGATGGTAGAATTGATTGGTCAAAAAAATCCACAACGCAAAATGCTAAAGTAACTTTTTTTATCGTCTATCAAGTCATACCATATAAAAAAGACAGAGTGTATTTTAGAAGAGTGTGTGCATTTTTAGAGAGTAAAAAACAAATTAAAGTTCTTATAATTAGAGAATTTATAGAGTGCGTGCATTTAGAGAGGTGTAAGAGTCAAATGTTAGGATATTGTTTACAAAACTTTTATCTACAAAATCTACAGAGTATTTCATTTTAAATTATCACGAATAACTCTATACATTGACGTCGCTGATATTATAAATCAATAGATAAAAAATCTTGCGGCTCAGCTGGCCCGGTCTCACATAAGATTATTAAATTTGTCGTCATGTTCATGTTTGATTTCCCCAAAATAATCCCTGGATTTGGGGAAGGGGGGGAATAATCTCTTTGGGGGGGGTATCACATAATAAGATGTTTTGATGTGGCGTTCTGAACGCTTAAAATTTTTCTCGTAGCACTCACCCCATATAACAAAAAGAGAAAAAAGTTCCTTTCAATAATTTATTAAGTTTGAATAAACGGGAAAAAATTTAATAAAATTCATGCAATCCAATCACCATAAGTTGATTTATTTTTTTTTAAAAAAAAAAAAAAAAAAAAAAAAAAAAAAAAAACTAGATTATCAATTTAGAATAGGAGTTCGAATTGGGGGCTGGTAACACTAGATAAACCTATTAAATATTTCCTTAATCCTCATCAAATTTATCCTTAAATACTAAACTAACTTCGATAATGTTCTTATTGGGGAACTTTTTACCTATCAATAATCCTAACCTTATTCCTATTCCATGATACGATCATCATCATTATAAAATTAAGGATTTGGTCATTTTGTGTGCATTTTCATAAAAGGAAATGTTTAGTTATATTCTAGTGAATATTAGGAGAGGACAAGATTCGCGAGATGACATCACAAATATGCAAGAAAAACATCAGATTTAGATATTTGGTTGACAATTTTTTTAACATCTCCCAATGATTTTAACGTCTAAATACGTGTTTCATTTAACAAGGATTCGTTTTTTTATTGGAATTAGAAGAAATTGTTGGATTAATAAACTACCACTGCGGGGCTTTTTACTAAATCTGCATGTGTAATACTTGTTTATGTAGTAACAAATCTTTTTTAAAACTTAAAATCTTTAAATCTTTTAAATCTTATGATAAATGAATTAAATATTATTCAGCCCAATTATAAAAAATAAAACATCTATTATAAAAAGAACATAGCATTCAACCGAGGCTTAGGATATGGTCGTGTGACAGAAAATCTCGATATTTAAGGAAGCAAAGGAACAAAATTCAAGTTAGGATTGAGGTACACTCACACGAAAGGGTGCACAGTCTTTTTATTTTTTTTCATTCTGAATTCTGGAAGTTTTCAAGATTTTATTTAATCAAATGGTAGCCATCTCATCTCGTGTTACGTAATGCTTGCATACAACTTTCTTGGTAAGAAATACAATGGAAAAAATATAAATGGAACTATGGAAAGTTGATCTAATACAAACACAAAATTATTTTTTTTTTTAGGTTTTTTATTTTTTTTTTTTTTTTGATGCAGGACATTTCTCAATCATAGTTGTTGACAGCATTGGTAGTAAGTTCTATTATACAAACGGTATTCTCCGCATGACAATCAAAGGCTTTTTGTCGATAAATGACAATTACTGGACATGTTGACAATTGAAAACAAGAGGACACCTGTATAGAGTTCCTTTTACGCCATAGTCGTTCATTTCAACCATTGGAAAAAAACAATGTTTCTTCGAATTGAATTATGGGGGTAGGCGGTTGGCTGTAATGGGTTTGGCTAAACTTGCTTACCATTGTTTGAAACATTATCGCAAGAACAACGGTATAAAATAGAAAGAGCAAACAAGATGCGTTCCTTTAACTAATGGAATTAACCCTATATTAATTCATACATACCAAGTACCCTACGTCGATTCCACATGTAAATTTATTAATTTAGATAATTTATATGTTAACACCCCATTCCCCCCTTAAAAAATAATAAACTTTTTTAATATATGTATTTAATATTACACAAACAAAGAAAAACAATTTTTTGTCACGCAATTGTTTTTCAGGCCACGAGTCCATTTCCTAACAAGTTCTCTTCAGGTCTATACTGTATAACTTATTTTCAACTTGTTAAATTCCTGAACAAAAAAATTTTTTTTCGACTAATTAAAGAAACCATTCTCAAGGAAGAATGTGGCAGTGCTAAATTAAAAAAAATCGAGCGAGGCGCATATAACCTTTTTCATGCAATTCAAAAGTTTTCAGAATAATGAAGTTAAATTTTATGAGGCGTTTTTTTATGGCGTTATTGGATATAATATTTGTGACGTTTATTCAGACCTTCCCTTCTTTTTTTTCTTTAAAGTAAAATTGATTCTCAATATGATTGTTTCCAGATAGTTCCTGGGGCATGCATCATTGTACATATATATATTTTTTTTTTTTTTTACACATTAGTTATTTTGTTTATCAACTTTGATCATTCCCTGGATGGGAAAAGCCTCCTTGTTAAAAATTTTTTTCTCTCATAATATATAAACCCTCCATTTTGCGTTCGTTGAAAGTCGTGCGGCTTTTTGCCCACCTTTTTAATTGTAATATATATATAACGTTAAAAAAAAAAAATTTTTTTACAGCATGCTGTATGTATAGCAGCGCTGAATAAAAATTTCTCTTTTCTTTTTTTTCCTCGCTTATTAGACAAGCATTACTACAATTTAATGCTTTTATTCACCCCATCCCGTCTCGCATTTTCTTTCCAAATTTTTATATATATCATAATACGTAAAACGTTGCTTTTGTTGCAAGAGTCAATCGACAATTGTTTGCTATGAGTTAAAAAGCTCGTAAGTATGAAAAAAAAAAATTTTTTTATTCTTTTATTCTTTGGTCTAAAAATTTATATTTTATTTCTATTTAAAGGCAAGCAATCCTAATTACGGTAGAAGAAAAATCTCTATATAAGGATTTGACTCTGTGTGTTCATCGTCTACAAGTGCTTTCCGTGTCATCATGTGTTTTAATCCGTCAGAATCACGAATAACTAGGTGGCAATTGGATTACTTGTGAGAACCAGTTTGGAGCGTAATCTTTTAGTGGATTATTTTCCCCCGTCCAGTATAAATTAACCGTTACCGTTAAAACCCGTCGTTCACCGAATGCAAACGATCACGAATTGCAAGACTTCTTTGTGTAGTGAGACGGACACATTTTATTCAAAAGGATCAAATGATTTGTGAATTTGCATGTGAGATGGAACTTTTGTCAGAAATTTCGAAATTTTTTTATTTTTCGACGACGAAATTTAATACCAAAAACCGTATATCGTCTTTTGAAATCGGATCGTTTTATTACAAAATTTTTTCTTTATATGCCTAATTTCGAAACCAACTGACATTTTTATTATTACCTTTCCATCAAGCGCGACTGTGGTTGGTAGTGGATTTTTATAACTGCTCCTCATAATTATGGATACATGAGTATCTATAATATGTGGTATTTCGTTTAAAATTTTCTTGCAACAAAATGCATTTCAAAAAAAAAAAAAAACTAATGGGATTTTTTTTTTGGATGGAGGAAAATATTAAAAATATCGTCCGTTTTCTCTTTTTATATATATATTTATATATATTCTGTTCAAACGTTTTCTTGTGGTAAAATAGTTTTTTCATTTTTATCCTCCACACTCCACACTCCATCCATCATCCGATTCCCGCGAATATAATATGGCTGATAAATTTAATATGCTCAAGATTTTCTCGATTAAAATCGCTTAATGTATTAATCTTTGCTATATTTTTATTATTATTTTTTTTTTTTTAGTAAAATAGTTTGTTTTTTTACTTCTTTTTTTATATATTTTCTTTTTTCTTAACTTTTCTTTTTTCTTTTTTCTTATCATCGTCTTTTATTACGAAAATCATCTGTCGCAAAAAAGCGTCTTTTCTTTACATATTCGATAATATTATAGTAACTTGTAAATTTTCGTTGCACATATTTTTTTTTTTTTATATACATATTATTTTTTTGCGACAGAATTGTTATATAAAAATAAAAAAACGTAAATACATAACAGTAAACAAAAATAAATTACCTTAACATATTATGAAGTTATCTCTAATTTTTAACATGTGAAATATTGCGTATTAAGGTCTAATCGGCCAATCCAATATCGCGAACCATGTCATAAAAAATAACAAAGCCAGCCCTAAATTTAGGATATGAATCAAATTTTTCAATCTTTCTTTTTCACTTATGAGGGATGATTAAACGATTAAAACCTCTTAACCCGCTCCTGTCTTGTTTCCTCGTAAAAAATAGTAATTCTATAGCGAATTTACGACCCAAATCATTTCGTTTCTATAACCAATCTACTAAATTTTCATCATCATCATATAATAATGGAGAGAATGATGATGATTGTGGTTATGATTTCGGTTATACAATAGATTTTACTCCGGAATCAATCGAGCTTATTCGAGATAGATTAAAATCTTCCGGAAAATTAAATTATAAATTTACTTATGATACTACAAAAAAGATCGAGGAGGCTGCTGTTTTGATGGTAAAAAAAAAAAAATTTGTTAATAATTTTTTCTATTTAAAAACATTTTTATTTACTTTTTTATTAGCCCCTTTGTGTTGTCGATGGTAAACCAAGCGTTTTGTTTACAATAAGAAGTCTGAATTTAAAAACTCATACAGGTGAAGTAAGGTATTATAAAAAGTTTTTTGATAATTTTATTTAATCTTTTTAATTTTTCTTTTTTTTTTAAAAAAAAAAAAAAACTTTCCAAATCAATTAAATTAAAATCGTAATAGTTTTCCAGGAGGAAAAAAGGAATCAACAGATGCTTCATTAGAATCAACGGCATTGAGAGAAACTTGTGAAGAAATAGGTATATCACCATCTCAAATAGATGTTTTAGGAAAAGATTCAACACTGCCAAATAAAGACAGAACAATTAAAGTATATCCTTTCGTTGGATTTATTAAGCACCCTATTGACATTAAGAAAGTTAACTTTAATAAAGATGAGGTATACGGTGTGTTTAGCGTCACTTTAAAAGATCTGCTAAATAAAGATAAGAGAAGATTGGAAAGATTTAGAGATTCAAAAATCAAGTATCCTGTATGTATGATTGAAAAGGGAATGATATTTTTAAAAATGTAAAATGTTTGGAAGTGAAACAAAAAAAAAATTGTTCTTTTCTCTTTCATTTTTTAGATATTTGAAACACCAAAAGAGATTGGACTTGAAATTTGGGGATTAACTGCATTTATATTGGAAAGTGCGTAAATATAAATTATATTTTTTCTACTTTTTCAAGTGTGATGATGATATATAATTAATTATCCATTCAATATTCTTTTCTAGGTGTATTACGCAAGCTAGCGAATCCTCCTTTGAGAAAAAATGAGTAGTCTGCTGAAAATTTCCAAGTTAACGTTACCTTGTTATTATAATTCAATAGATTGATAACTTGGAAATACAAGGTCTTCATCGATTAATTTCCTTAGTTGATCAACAATAAATTTCTCTAGTTTTCCTACATTCTTCAAAACTTAATGTAAAAGATAAAGCAAAGATAATTAGATACGAAAAGTAAATTATTTAATGTAAACTTATCTAATAATAAAATTCATCTTGTTTACCTTGCTTTTCTTTATCACCGATTTCAGAATCAATGTGAACATCTTTTAAAAGGCTAAAGAATATAAATATTAAAATATTCATTGTATATGTTACGATACTTTTTTTTTTTTTTTTGCAAATCGTAATAATAATCAAGATCACTCTTTAGTTACCTTTCTTCAGGATCTTTTGGTTCCAAAAAACAAAAATTAATTCGATGTCGAAGATATGCAATCACAGCTGTAGCTATATTCCGATAATCCAAGAATAAAGAAAACGAGAAAGTCAATGCTCTTCTAGTCCTTTTTTTTTTTCTTTTTAAAAATCAAACCAAGACCCTCAATTTTAAATAATCACCAGAAAATTCGAATCCTGTTACGGTCAACCTAACAGGTAAACTCATAAACATTAAACTAGGATAATTCATATATAATTCGGTAGAAATGGTCATTTTCATATTTCCTTTGTAAGTTATTGCAATATGAATTTGTGCATCAGTATCTTGCTTCGATGGTACTTCTTCTTCAGAGTGTAAATTATCGTGATAATCCTCTCTTAATTGTAATGGAACTCCGGTCCTTGCTTGTTCTCGTAACCTTAGCTGTTGCCTCTGAAAATATAAATAATCTGTAGAAGTATCTGAAGCATTCGAAGAGGATGAAATCATGGGCGATAAAGGTGTAGATGTAAGTGACGGTGATTTGCTGTTATTATTAATATTATTATTGTTGTTGTTGTTGTTATCGTTATTAGTAATAATATTATTACTATTAAAGGGAAAAGATCGAAGAAATGACGAAGAGGGAGAAATATTTTGCGAGATTTGTTGTTCATTACTAACAAGCCTATCTCTCATTCCTTCCCTCCCGACTCCAATCCCGACTCCAACCCCATTACTACTGGTTCCATTTCTTATTCCGTCTCCTAGTATTCTCGATTCAGCAGAATCAGATCTAACATCAACTTCTACAACATCATCGGGTAAATAAAATTCTGGAAAAGGATCTGTGACATCAATAATTTCAATTGATGGTGGCAGAGTACCAAAATCAAAATCCGATATTTCTATATTCCCTATAAACGAAGGTTTATTATTCGTATTACGAAAATGTTCATTTATTATATCTTGAACTTTTTGTGCTACTTGTCTATCAAGCTTATCCCAAAATATATCAAAAGACATTGATATAACATAAATAAGAAAATGTACCTTTTTATTTATTTATTTTTTTTTTTTACTTTTGGTAAAGGAAATTCTACTAAATTTATATAACAAATCAGAGGGATCGGCATAGATGATCGCCATCCATATTTGGTTTTTTTTTATATTAAATTTACTTATTTTTTAGTAATTTGTAAAAAAATCCTTTAACTTTATTAACTTTAAAAATAATTCTTTACAAATATGCAAATTAATGATGCTATTCGAAATCTATCTTAACATGTAGCTTAAAAATTTAAAAACTTTTTCAAAACCTTTAAATGACTTTTTCTTAAATCTGAAACTTAAAACTTAATTAAACTTCATAGAGTTTTAAAAAACCTATTAGAAGTTTAATATTTATTATAAACAAATAGTTTGATCTCATATATCTTAAAACTTAAAATTGTCTAAAATAGTTAATAAAATAAATATTAATTAATTAATTAATATTAAATTTATAATTTAAAATTTTATTAAATCCTATTAAATCAAATTTAAATATACTAAATTAAAGTATATAAAGAAAATATATAACTTGAAGTTATATAGAAATTTTACTTAAAAAATTATATTAAAAATTATATTAAAAATAATATTATAATTGGTTTTTATATTATATTTCTAAAATATACTTTTATATTTTTAATTAAAAAATTCATAATAATAGTAATACTTATTAAAACTATTTATTATTATCCTATTACTTTCGAATTTTAAATTTAATTAAGTTTTATTATTATATAACTTTTTTTTTAAAAAATCAGTTTTATTAAACTTTGATATTTTAGGCAGTATTATTAGATGATCATCTATATTCAATTTTTTTTTACTTAAATATTAATTATATACTTATTTTAAATTATAAAATTTTTAATGCTTAATATTTAATATTTAAATTATTAAAGCTAATTATAAAAAATAAATATCTTTTTTATTTTTATAAATTATTTTTACAAAACTTTTATTATATTAGTTAAAAAAAAAATGATTATATTTGGTGATCTTATTATTATAAGGATTCTTTAGATCATGTGATATATATATCAAATGATTTAATATATAAAATATAATTGGTTTAAAAATAATTATCATTTTCATATAATATTTTTTTGAAAATATTTTGTATTTTTAAATTTTAACAGTTAAATAATAAAAGATATTCTATATATTTAATACTTTTATTAAATAAAAGTTTATTTAATTCATACAATTACATTTAAATATTATAATATAATAAAATGCATTTTAATGTTGAACAACTTTATTTAAGTTTATTTTATTTGTTTACTTTTCAAATTATGTCTTGAAAGTAAAAAATTAAAACATGTTTTAGTATTATTATAAAAACATTTATAACTCATAACTATTTAAGCTACCTAATAAAAATTATTATATAAAAAGTATAATATCTATTGATTAATCTTATTTAGACTTCAAAATGCAATTTTATTTGATTAAAGTAGTAAATTACATTGTAAAGTATAAAATGTAATTATTCTTAATAATTTGATTTACAAAAATTTATATATATATATATTTTAATACTTTTTCAAAATATAGATTAGTATTACTGTTTGAAACTAAAATTCTATAGTTTAAATTTACTGAAGTTAGTTTAATTAAGTATTAAAACTAATTTAGTTAATAGTCAAAATTACTAAAACTAGTTTTATTTAACTAAAACTAATTTTTAGTAGTTTAGGATAACAACCTTAAAAATAGATTTTTACAAATTATATGAATATAATTTACCTGCTATTTTATACATATATCATATATATTTTGAACTTTTAACAAAATTTTCATTATTATTCTTATAGTATTCTATATTAATATAATATATTCAGGACTTTATAACTACTTTAACATATAAGGTCACTTTAAATATTTAATGATTCTATAGACTTTGCTAATGTAATATTCTAAAATAACTATATATATTATAATATCTAATCATTTACATACCTGATTTTTTTCATTTTCATCTAGTCATCAGGAAGATAATAATCATATGCTTTATAGAAATCTATATTTAGTAATAATATAGTAATAAAATAATGATAAAATTATATAGTATTTAGCTATAAATTCAATATATTAAAGTAAAATAATTGTTGATATATAGCTATTATAGTAAATCACTAGCTTAAAAACAGTTACTATACCTTAAAATAATCATTTATCAAATTATTAGATCAGAATTGTATGATTAATGACTAATTATCAATGTTAATAAAATAAATAAAAATTTTATTATCAAAATCGTGATTATTTATTAAACATGTTTAAAATATTTAGCAAATATATTTATAGTTTATTTGCTAAATTATGGCTAAATAATTATAATCTATAAAGCATTTTATTGAAATATTCTCAAAATTATAACTATTTAAAAAATAATATGAAAAAATTTGATTATTTAATCAATTTTAATTAAACAGCTTTGAAAAAATACAAATTTTAATATATAAATTATTATTAATATTGTGATTAGTCTTAATACATTCATCATTCTTATAATAGTAAACAAAATAAATAATAATACTTATATCAACTTTTGTTATAAGAAAGAGTTGTTAACATTCACTTGTAATTCATAATTTGAATATAAAACATTCTAGCTTCATTTTACTAGTAATTTTGAACTAATCAACAATAATAAAGTAAAATATTGATCATTCCTTTTATAACTAAAAATTGATTACAAAATTTCAACTATCATTTTCAGTCATTATAATAATAACTTCATTAATATATAGATAATATCAGATAGTTGTATCATTAATTTCTACTAAAAAACTAGCATATTTATAAACTGACATAAATATTTGAAAATAATCAATTCGTAATCAATATTTTAATATACTAATGCTAGTTGTATATAAAAATCAAATATATTCAGCAAAGTTTTATTAATCTTTCATCTTGATATATGCTTCTTCAAATTTATTTTGAAATATAATTAATTAGTAATTGTACTAGTATAAATATAAACAATTATTATTTAAGTTAAAATAACAAATTCAAGATAAATAAATAACCTTTATTCAAATCTTTGTATATGTCAAGATTAAGGTTGCTTATTTAAACTCATTTTGGATTTGGCTAAATATCTAAACCTTTAATTTTACTAAATTTTTACTAAGTATTTAATATAGTTTTGTTGTTTTTATAAGCTTTGATATAGTTTTTTTTACCTTTCTCTGAATTTCGCAGATTTTTTAATAAGATAGATTTTGTCTAGCAACCTTAATCAAGATCATTAAAAAGTTACTTAATGATAAATTAATTATTTTAAATGATACAGAATATTAATTAAAATCTATATTTTTCTGATTTGTAACATGATATTCTTGAATATGCAGTGCTAAGAATGTTATCCCAAACCACTAAAATTAGTTTCAATTAAATAAAACTAGTTTTGGTAATTTTAGCTATTAACTAAACTAGTTTTGACACTTAACTAAACTAGTTTCAGTTATTCTAAACTACAGAATTTTAGTTTCAAATAACAACATTATGTTATTTCTTTTATTCCTATACAAGTATTCAATAAAGTCACATAGTTTCTTACATGTTATATTAAATGATAATTGTATGAGATTATCAAAGCCTTTGAATAATGCTTTAAGCTAGTTAAATCGACCCAGGTTATTTGATCTAACTTGAGAAAAATTTGAGTCAAAACTATCATTTTATGTCATGAGTCCTAATTTCTTAAAACCCGTTAAGTTAGAGTCTCGATTTTACTTGATTCAAATGACTCAATAATCAGATAATACTATTAAATAATATGTAATATATATAACTTTTAAAATGAGTGAAACTATTGAACTTTTTAATTCTAATAATACTTCTCTTGAAAATTAAAAATAATTGCAAAGTGAACTTTTTGTCAAAGAGTTTTTGAAAAGAAACTTTTTCTACCTGAATATATAATTCAAAAACACATTAAAAAGTTAAGTGTCTTAATTGCTTATATCTTTTTAAATAGAATATAATTTGGTATATTATAGGTTGATTTTTTTTCAAAAATATTTAGTGTACATAAAACATGACTCTGCAATATTGATGATTCAAATATTCAAATACAACAAAATTATGTTATTATTTAGAGTGCAATGATCCAAATAGAAAAGAAATTATTTTTAAAAAAATATTACTGTTAAATGATTTTAGACTTAAAGATGATAAATTTACGTATGTATAAATTCCTGAAGCCAATAATATATTTAAAAATCTAATATGCAACTAAAAAACTTTACAATTAAAAAATTTTCAAATTTAATACACATTTTTCATTATATATATAAATAAAATTTTTTTACTTTAGTATTAATATTATCTTAAAATTTGAATTGAATACGATTAAATAATAATTGAATTGGATCAAATAATAATCAGGCTGAGTCAAATTTAGGCACTATAAATATTAACAGATTCTAGCTTAAAGATGGTATAGCAATTGATTTCAAATTTACAAAATGTTACAACATAAGCTAAAATTAGTTGCAACATATATAGGTTAAAACTAATTGTAACGTAAGTTGCAACATTAAAAGTTGCAACATATTAATTACAGTTCCCATCTTTATTCTAGCTCAAGTTTACTTTAAACCTGACCTGATCTGACCCTTATAGAGTATTACCTTTGAATGCCTATTTTATAAATAATAATTATAAATTAGAAAGAAATAAATGTTAATAAAATTTTTAAATTAATTAGTAATAAATAATTAAACATTAATAATAAATGCTAAATATGTATAGTTATATTAGAAGAATATTAACAATTGATAAATAAATAATAAATACCTGTAACAATAGTTTTCATTTATTATTCAAGCATTTATACAGCTTATCATAATTGTTTTTTATGAAAAAATAGTTAAAAACTATCATCATTATTTTTACTATTAATACTTAATACTTTAATCAAAGTTTCACTATCAAATCATCATAAGTAACATCTATTTATC